ATAGATGGCACCGTGGAGCAGTTTTACGGTGTGCCACAGCATAATTTCTGTAATAGTGGTGGTCACAGGCTTTTAAAACAAATACATTTGATATACACGTCTTGCTTTTTTATCTTTGCATTTAATTTTAATATTAGCAGAGTAGGATATAATATATCAATATCCTGTTAATATCGACTGTGGTCCAAGAAGTATCGTGATGCATTTTGTATCGCAGCACCCATGCCAAGGCTCACCCCTAATAACAAGATTGATTTATGCAGTTTAGGTTTCAGGTAAAGTGTGAATAAATACTTTAACTATTTTATAGGTATTTTTGGATGTAAATATATTTTGTGCGTTTTTTAAGTTTTTTTAATCGCTTTCTGTCTCCCCAGTGTTAATATTCATCTCTCGCCTACGACCTCGAGTGGAGCATGACCAAATATCCAAATCAGGGATGAGGTCACCTAGCAACATTGAGGACAACTTGTTTCCACTGTCCTTAATGAAGAGTCTGAAGTAGAGAGAAAAAAGACAAAAGACAAGTACCTAAGGGAAGTAAATAGAATGCATTTGTAGTTTAGCCCTGTGGCGACTCAGTATGAAGGATTTCTATAAGGTCAACAAGACAATGCAAGTGGCTGTGACTGCTTCTCCAGAAGTAGTGAATTTATTATTGAGTCCTGTCAATAATGTGATTAGCTGGGCTTCCTACTGTAGATACCAACTTTAAACAATCTGTCTTTTTGATTTGATTGAATAGACTCTGTAGCGTTTCTTAAAATGACGTGTTTTAAACTGCTGAATTATAAATGAACTGATTCTATTTGAGTTTAATCGTTGAAAGCTCTTTGCCACCATCTTGCAAACATAAAGTCATTTAGATTTGCATGTGGTTTTGGATATATCGGACCACTCTTCACAGAAAAATTGGGAGATTTTATTTTAACTGGTTCATTTTCAGGGCAGGGTTACACACCAATGATCTGTTTTTTCTTAGTATATATATATACACCCTGTTATTTTGATGTATGGTGAAATAAAGATCCAATAGTTAATATTACTCATATACTAAGAGTTCAATGTAATAAGGCTGTTTTCTCTAGCCTCTGGAAATACAATTCACCTTCAGACATTATACAACAGGCAGTCTATGCAGCTTATTTGACATGATGCAACTCAAATCCAGTGTGATGAAATGTGTGTGAATTAAAAGGACAAAGGAATGAACACTTACCGCATGGAGCGGATTGCCTTGATCGATCGGCACCTTAAAGTCAGCCTGGAGCTCATCAAAAGCTGTTATCTGAGGAAGAGGGAGGGAAAAAGGGGTGAGTGATCTAATCGGGGAGGAGTTGGGGCAGAGAAGAAGCATTCTTGGAGAGAAAGTATATCATTACTGCCATCGGGCTAGCCTGAGGATTAATTCACCAAGCTGGACTCCGCATTGTGATTCTTCATATAGAACCAAGCTAATAAATAGAACTTATTGACACTTATAGTATCGGACAACAGTAAGTAAACTCCTCATATCATTGCAACTATTTCACTGTATGTTATATTGGGAAAACATTGAAGATATGAGACACTGATATAATGTAGAGGAGTCGTAGTACAGCTTGTATAAAGGTGTGCATCTTCCGTCCACTTAAAATAACTGACAACTTTGGTATTGAAAAAGGGTGTGATTTGTCTAGAAGGGAAACCTAATATAGAGTAAGGGGAGCTCTAATGTTTGTTAAACCTTGCATGTCTATTCAAACCCGAGCGCTTTTTTTAAATGCCACACTGCTCTTTTACATTTTAAACATAAAACAAAATTGCACTGTTGACATTTCCGTCAAGTAGCTATGATGACGCCGCCATGGTTCAGGTTGAGTAATTCAAGCAGACTTCAGCAAACAGCAGCAGGTATACATATCTGAATGCACAACCAAACAGTGAAAGTTGTGTGTCATACATGCGCAGCTTTGTTTTAAAAAAATTTTAATATAAAAAAACATAACTGCAGATGTCTGGGGGACAGTGATTCACCTAGATGTTATAAATGGTGGCGTACCATAAATGATAAATTATGAAGAGTTTAGTTTGTGCCTTCAAATCGTTGCCCATAGGAAGACGATACTTGGATATAACTAGAGACTGACACGGGAGTGGATTTTCACTCCTGTCCAGTCCCACTCCCACAGAAAAAAATCCTGTCCCGTCCCACTCCTGGTGAAATTACTCCCATCCCGCTCCCATTCAGAATGACTCCCGCTCCCGCACCACTCCCATTCTTGTTTTTGAGCGAGGGTGAAAAACTTAGAGCGGCAGCACTGTTGGTTTTTGGGTCGTGTAGTTTTTTTGACTCGCATTATAGTGTAGGCTTCAAGGAAAAAAACTACAAAATGGCGGCGCCAGTACTGGAATTTTTTTCCTTTCTATTTTATTTTATTTTTTGGCATCTATCCTCGTTTTTTTTATTTACTATTGGTTTGCTCCCGCTCCCGTCTGCTCTCGTTAATGTTTAATCCTGTACCGTCCCAATCACGTGATCGTTACTAATACTGACTCCCATCCCACTGGAATCCCACGGGAATCCCGTGACCTGTGGGATTCCCGAAAAAATGTCAGTCTCTAGATATAACCTAACGGAATATCTTCCAAACGGCTCCAAATGACACAAAACTCATATAGGTGAGAAAAACAATGTAAAAAAAAACGGTGTTCCCCTTTAACCGGTCTGGCAGAAGACCGCCATGTTGAGCCTGGTTCTGCCAGATGTTTCTTTTCAATGAGGAGTTTTTCCTCTCCACTGTCGCTTCATGCTTGCTCATCAGGGACAGCTTCTCTCCACCTGAGTAATCCAAACTGGACTTCCATCTTCCAGGTCCCTGAGTGAAGCTCTAGTATCAGCTCA